TTTTTATATATTGATACGTACGTATATTTTGTATATATATATAAAATATACGTACGTATCAATATATAAAAATGAGAGAAGAAGTGCCGAATGATATTTTTTTTTTATTATGCATTTAAGAAATACTCTAAATCAATATAAAAAACATTACACAAACTACCCGTATATTACACGACTGGTAACAAAACGTCAATATCAAATAATATCAATATTGTTAATTGTCAAATCAGCGAATCGAGGTTTGTTTCTGTGCTGTTATCAAAATATAGAAACTAAATAATGTCCAAATTTATAATTTAAATTAATTATAGTCGAATTTCAACCACTGAGCGATCACTAGTTTAATATTATAAAGACTCCAATGCATAGTATGAGTAGTATACAGAATAGAATCTGATCGTGTATTCACCCCGCGAACTGCGCCCGTAAGTTAGGCGAGCTATCAGCCCGGGCGTGTGCCAGTTCGCACTTCTTGCTCGTGTCACATAATTCCGGAATACGGCATTGTTTACTTATCAGTCGGCCCACTATCCGGATTGTTGAACATTAGCTAACGTGAGTGTAATTTAAATCTTGGATCAACTGAACTGTTCCAGATGGAACATTATGTGCACTAAAACAAAGCTCGGTCGCCCAGGTACTGCAATGTATTTCAAATGTTATTATTAAGTGGTCTCGGACAGTCGGTTATCAGAGGAGGTTCCTTCCGTGTACCAATGTGGTGTGGAATGAATTACTTGCCGAAGTTTTCTCGAAAAACTACAGCATTGGATTTTTTAAGGATAGGATATGTTAAAGTTTCTTAAGGGTCGGTAACGGGTATGTGACTCCCCTGGTGTTTCAGGTATCCAGAGGCTACGGTAACTATTTACCATCATAATAATATGGGCTGTATGCTGGTTTGCCAACATCGTAATATAAAAAAAAATATGACAGTTTGTTAGGATATATACCCTAACAAATTGACTTGGTACATTGCTAGCAATTATTAGGACATTAGTCCACAATGTAATATTACTTATCTATGATATTACTAACAATCTCCTCCCCTATGTGATTTTTTCTATCTCTATCCTATTCTATTAAGAATACATTAACCTAAAGATGGTTGTACTGTATAGGATATTGTTTAGGATACTGTATAGGATATTGTATTGATTATTTAACGTATCATGTATTGAACCCCAATATACACACCATACCGAATTACAACGATAATCATAAGCATGATACCGAATTACGATTACTTTGTAATTATACCTATTTGTGTCCCATCTTGTACTTTTCAGTTGATCTTCGTTGTTAACTGAATTATCAGAATGGGTCGCTTAATAAACGGTCTGGGTTCGAAGTCAATTTGATCTTCAGAAATGGTTAACGCAGGAGTGCTTTCATGGGTCTGTAATATGTAATTATAATTTCATTATATATATGTACAATATATAATAATTTAATATATGTATATAATTATTATATTTTGCAGTTATCAAGTTGTTACTTTTGAAACTGGTTTTTTTATTAATTTTAGTTTACTTGAATTTTTATTAAGAATGAAGATAATATTTTATAATGGTATTATACATATATGAATGTGTCTGGTTAAGGAAGGCCGAAAAAGAAATGGATGGACTGTGTTTAAGATAATATGGCGAGAAAGGGGGTAAATAATGAGATGATTTCGAATAGGGATGAATGGATGAGAAAAATATATGACCGACCACAAAGAAATGGGTGAGGAAGAAGCAGTTTACATGAATTTTTATTTTTTAGAAGTGTCTACCACACTTTAAAATTTTGAAAGATAGGTTATTTTTAATATTTAATTTTTTAGGGCTACCCCCTATGTGGTAATTACTATATTGTCCCTAATTTAAAAGAAAAATCAATCTGTATTTTCGTAATTATGTACAAGCTCATTTGAAAAGAATAAATGCTCTATTTATTGCCCATTCTTCTCATCTCGAAATCAGACAGAACTAACGGTAGATTTGACATATCACAAGAGTCTATTATTTTTATTTGAATTTCTATCCAGTTCTTCTTAGCTTGAATGCCCTCAGAACTGACGATAGATGTAACATATGTAACATAAGAATTTGTGATAGACCTACATGATACATATATAAAGATATTTTGATTTCATTCGACTTCATTTGCCGTACCCTACTTTAAATGGCAGTCGAGTAACAATTACATGCGTGCGAATTCCAGTAACTTGGATTCAAACAAACTAAAACTACGAGCACACATCGAAATCGGAGCATGTTTTTGTTGTCATTAGCCGAGGTCCGGCCAGTATATTACTCCGCTTGCAAACTACGTATTTGATTAAGTACTCGAGCAAGTTTTATGGGGACAGTTCATGTTAGTGATGTATTGAATACGATTGGATGTATCGATTTATATTGCAAATTATATTATTATTAATAATAATATTTTATTTACAAATGTAACACATCTCGTTACAAAATATGTATGATTCGACGAGAATTTGAGGGATTATAAATTTGTAAATTATTCATCTGATTGTGTTAAAAGTTTGGTCATATAAGTTCATCATATATATTTTTTAGCCACATTGCAGTGATTAAAGGAAAAGGAGATAAGGAACTCACCCAAATTGTACAAAATTATAGTTTATAGATGAACTGCATCGGCGACTTGAAGCACTTGAGTTTTTCAACCAAATTACATCACACTCGCGACACAAATATAGATTATTTTAATATTTAAGAAGTTCCTTTTGTTTACTGATGCATGCGGTGGTTGTTTCACTCGTTAGATGGCGACGAATAATAATGTCCATATTGTGCAGGGGAAGGGGGGCGGTAAAAGCAGTGTAGCGGCTTACAACATATGTATATATATATATATATATATATATATATTTGTAATTTATGTTTTTAGAAGACGCGCAAACAAACCTATCATTTATTATTACTTCATCGAAGAATTTACGGGTAAAAGTTAATGTTAATATAATCAAATTCAAAAACAATGTGAATTTAAAAAAAAAATTATTCTTGTAATACATTTTAGCCGCTTATGAACGTCAAGTTTTTTGTACTTAATATTTTTCCCTACCTTTCTAAAAAAAATTGTTGGGAATTATGTTTATTTCTAACAATATTTTTTTGGTTGAATGGTAGATAACGCCGCAAGGTGTTAAATCCACTATATGCACATTTTAGGTGCATTTAAGTTAAAAAAAACAATATATCGATAATCAGCTCGTCCCATCACTAGTTTCGGAACTGGCCCGACTGATACGAACTGAATAGAGTTTCATGTTAACAAAATAGATACTTTGTAGTTGGGTATGATTAACTAGTTGAGACTTGTTCGGACGTTAGTTTTAGAGTGAGGTTACGCAATCTGTCAAACGGTTGTACTAGATATACCTAAGTATCACCGCATTGTTTTAATTCTAAGCCAAGTTGCTTAAGTTTGACGGCCGTATCTAATTTAACGTGCTGTGTCGAGTTTTGCTCAATAATAATATTTCACAATTTACACAGCGCCATCTAGTTCCAAGCTAAGCAGAGATTGTGTTGTACTTACCAGACAAAATAAAATTAGAAATTTTCCAAAAGTAATGACAGATAAATATTTTTAGAGTATGCAACAGGAATCTTGAAAACCACCAGTAATAAGAATAATTAAGTGAAAATATTTATGTATGGTACATGATGATGCGGTTCGAATGCTCAGATGGTAGGTGATGTTGGCTTCAGCAGATTACGGGTTGTAGAAAATGATAGAATTGCTTATAGTCTTGAATTTAATGGTAAATATACTATTAATTACAAATTTGGTGGAGTGAACAAATTGTACGTTAGATCGAGCGGTTGATATTTTAAGTCTGTTACATTACGAAGCGAATTTAAATTGGATGGGTGTGCGCTCCAATCAGAACGCTCCTTTTGTGTTGCGTTTTGTTGCTGCTTGTACGCGACAATGTATAATTACTATTAATAGGGTAAATGGGTATTACGGGATATATCCGTACAATAAGTAGTATGAGAATATATATATATAAGAAAGATATATATATATGTATATATATACATAAATATGAATAAAAAAAATAGAACACATCTACCGGATAATAAAAAAAATAGGTCAAAAGGCTGAATAGTTTCCAGGGAAATCCACATGGGGTTCTAACAATGTACCCGACATGGTACATTGTTAGAAATGTGAAAAAAAATACTCGATATACCATTTACATCGATACAGTCCAATAAATAAACACTGAATATAATATAAATGAATTTATTTGCCGCTGTTAGAACTTGAATTCAGGCCGTATCCGTACAAAATACGTTGGCAGGAGAAAATAAATGTACAGAATTGGGTCACGGTACCCAAAAGCCTTTCCGCTGGCCGTCAAATTACGTAGTCTTTTTTCTCAGTGGATGTTATAACTTATTTATAAGGTAAAATAGTATGTGTAATTTATTTCACTGAGTTGATTATACCGCGCCTTGCTTTGATGTGTCCAAGTCTGGTAAAAGACCGAGAATATATTCTGATATATATCCAGTCCATCTTCCATTAGTTAGTAATTTCAGGAAGATATCTGTATCAAAGTAATTGAGAGCTTCATGGCTTAGCGGTTTACTATGACTGTTTACGAGTCTTAAAGTTGTGGATTTGAAACTGCTGGATATTAAATTTTGCGTGTCCATTTCTATTTCTATTCCTAACTGATTCTCCGGTCATGGACACGCGGATAACAATCTGAATTAATCTTAGATATGGCGTGGCAGAAACGCCCTTTGCCATGTCGGAATAATATATATATATATATATATATATTATACATATAAATAGTAGTAATTTACTTTATTTTTGTTAATACATATATATGTAGTTTGAATGTAGCCTGGTGCGGGTGAATGATGCTGTGTTATTGGTTGAGACGATGTATATTACAGATGATAATTGACTGACAATTCTTCTTCTTAGTCGGTACACTCTTGTCAGAGTGGTCGTGGTCAATATTTTGAATCAAGATGAGTGAGGTTTTTGGTAATACGGCGCCATTCGTCGCGGACTGTAGCTTTCCGGGTACATTCGTAAACTGAGCACTTAGTTGCGGCCTTGATCTGGTCTGTCCATCTCATTGGTGATCTACCACGTGGCCTGGTGCCTTCCACTTTTCCCTGCACTACGAGACGCTCTATGGAGTCATTACCACGGTGAGATACATGACCGAAGAAGGTCAGAATGCGTAATTGCACTGTGGTTGATAGGCGCTGTCTGATGCATAGATCTTTTAATATGGAATAATTTGTACGAAACTCTGTCGACGATATTCCTAGCATCTGTCTCCAGCACCACATTTCCAACGCATCAACTTTCTTCTTCCCCGTTTTACGAAGAGTCCATGTCTCTGACGCATATAGGAAAAAGGGGAATATTAGGCAATAAACGAGTCTAGTTTTCGTGGCCTTGGTAATGTTCCTATTGTCTGATAATATGTATAAAAATATTGATCTTATATACTAAATGACAATAGGAAAATGTAAGGTGGGTGACACAGTTTAGACACAGCAGTGCTTAGTACACAATAGTTAATTTGTCTTACTAGACATTATTCAATGCAATTATTATTTCAAGGTAACTGTGTCCCACATAGCCCAATATAAACAATCATATTCATAAATACAAATGACTGCATTGTGCGAAGAATCGAACCTTGACTATCGGAAGCAAAACGATATCCTCAACTGCTAGATAACCGAGACCGTCAATTAAGAAAATCTCTGTTTTCCCTGCCTACCACTCAATGGATCTAACGTGAAGATAGACAAGTATTATTTCTTAATTATTTTACATCATTTATTTCATTCTTCTGCATTCCACGATGCATAATTTTGCCATTAGTCTGCTCGTAATTAATGAAAAAAATAATTGTCCCATAAAATGGCAATTAACATAAAACAGAAACGAGCAACAGGGGCACCCATAAATTAATTAGCCAAGTAATCTGATTTGCCATTAAAATACTCTACGGTATGTTAAGAGTGCTTTTAAAAATGTCCTCTTGTTTTCATACATTTTGTTTTTTTATGTGATTAGAAGGACAAACAAGCTGACGTGCCACGTGATGGTAAATGGTATCCGTCGTCCATACACTAGAACAGAACTACAGCCATCACGTTATCATATAATACCCATGATAAGGACATCACATTATCATATGACAATTCCAAGATATCACGATATCTTCTTTTTTGATTACCTATATATATTATAATAATATACATCGATATATTAATTTTATATACATAGTAAACAATTAAATATGTTGTATTGTAAAATTAATTAGTACTGGTCAACAATATATACTATACTAGCTTTTGCCCGTGGCTTCGCTCGCGTTAATTTATCCCCTTAGGGGTGGAATTTATCAAAATCCTTTCTTAGGAAATGTCTACGTCAGTCAGTTTAATGCATGCAAAGTCTCAGCCCGATTGGTTTAAAATTGACAAAGTTTCATACAAACTTTCATCCCCTAATTTATCCCCTTGGGGGTAGAATTAATCAAAATTCTCTTCTTAGTAGATGCCTACGTCATAACATCTACCTGCATGCCAAATTTCAGCCCGATTCGTCCAGTGGTTTGGGCTGTGCGTTAATAGATCACTACGTCAGTCACCTTTGAGTTATCTTATATACAAAATTCTTGTGTCACAGTTTTCGTTCCCATACTCCTCCGAAACGGATTGACCGATTCTCATGAAATTTTGTGAGCGTATTGAGTACGTCTGAGATTCGGCCAACATCTATTTTTCATCCCTCTAAATGTTAGAGGTAGTCCACCCCTTATTTTTATTTTATTTTAAGGCAAAACAACGTTTGCAGGGAGAGCTAGTATGTATGTATAGATTTATTGTGTCACTGTAATATTGTAGGGAATAAGCACTACTTTAGTTATTTCTATTTAGAGAGACCCTGCTCTCTCTTTACCGTACATTTTAAGGATGAAATGTATATCGTCTGTAATTAAGTTTTAATATCTGTAGGTACTTTAAAATACATCTACATAAAATATTAACAATCTACGTTATTAGTTAGCGGTTGCCTAGCAAAATACCAATCCTGATTTCAATTTTAAATTATTTAATAGTGATTCATTTGGTACATCAGTAGCGGCGGCGTCGTGTCGCACGATAGTGATCTACGAGAAATTACACTTCCTTCCTTATTGTTGTCGGGCGTGAAATACGAGACCGAGCACCGCATAAATATCTACACACTTTATAGGCTACAAAGAGGTGTTGGTACCTTACATTTTTTATGTAATTAGTGTCATTAAATAAATAATTTCAAGTATAATAAAAATATCCTTGAACAGTTCACAAAACTAATCACCACCGAGCACCGCATAAATATCTACACACTTTATGGGCTACAAAGAGGTGCTGGTACCTTATATTTTATATGTAATTAGTGTCATTAAATAAATAGTTTCAAGTATAATAAAAATATCCTTGAACAGTTCACAAAACTAATCACCACCGAGCACTGCATAAATATCTACACACTTTATGGGCTACAAAGAGGTGTTGGTACCTTACATTTTTTATGTAATTAGTGTCATTAAATAAATAATTTCAAGTATAATAAAAATATCCTTGAACAGTTCACAAAACTAATCACCACCGAGCACTGCATAAATATCTACACACTTTATGGGCTACAAAGAGGTGTTGGTACCTTAAATTTTTTATGTAATTAGTGTTATTAAATAAAAAAATCAACTATGATAAAAATATCCTTGAATGGTTCACAAAACTAATCACCACCGAGCACTGCATAAATATCTACACACTTTATGGGCTACAAAGAGGTGCTGGTACCTTATATTTTATATGTAATTAGTGTCATTAAATAAATAGTTTCAAGTATAATAAAAATATCCTTGAATGGTTCACAAAACTAATCACCACCGAGCACTGCATAAATATCTACACACTTTATGGGCTACAAAGAGGTGTTGGTACCTTATATTTTATATGTAATTAGTGTTATTAAATAAAAAATATCAACTATGATAAAAATATCCTTGAACAGTTCACAAAACTAATCACCACCGAGCACTGCATAAATATCTACACACTTTATGGGCACTTACATTTTTTATGTAATTAGTGTCATTAAATAAATAGTTTCAAGTATAATAAAAATATCCTTGAATGGTTCACAAAACTAATCACCACCGAGCACCGCATAAAGATCTACACACTTTATGGTCTACAAAGAGGTGTTGGTACCTTATATTTTATATGTAATTAGTGTTATTAAATAAAAAATATCAACTATGATAAAAATATCCTTGAACAGTTCACAAAACTAATCACCACCGAGCACCGCATAAATATCTACACACTTTATGGGCTACAAAGAGGTGCTGGTACCTTATATTTTATATGTAATTAGTGTCATTAAATAAATAGTTTCAAGTATAATAAAAATATCCTTGAATGGTTCACAAAACTAATCACCACCGAGCACTGCATAAATATCTACACACTTTATGGGCTACAAAGAGGTGTTGGTACCTTATATTTTATATGTAATTAGTGTTATTAAATAAAAAATATCAACTATGATAAAAATATCCTTGAACAGTTCATAAAACTAATCACCACCGAGCACCGCATAAATATCTACACACTTTATGGGCTACAAAGAGGTGTTGGTACCTTATATTTTATATGTAATTAGTGTTATTAAATAAAAAATATCAACTATGATAAAAATATCCTTGAACAGTTCATAAAACTAATCACCACCGAGCACCGCATAAATATCTACACACTTTATGGGCTACAAAGAGGTATTGGTACCTTATATTTTATATGTAATTAGTGTTATTAAATAAAAAATATCAACTATGATAAAAATATCCTTGAACAGTTCACAAAACTAATCACCACCGAGCACTGCATAAATATCTACACACTTTATGGGCTACAAAGAGGTGTTGGTACCTTATATTTTATATGTAATTAGTGTTATTAAATAAAAAATATCAACTATGATAAAAATATCCTTGAACAGTTCACAAAACTAATCACCACCGAGCACCGCATAAATATCTACACACTTTATGGGCTACAAAGAGGTGTTGGTAGCTTACATTTTTTATGTAATTAGTGTTATTAAATAAAAAAAATCAACTATGATAAAAATATCCTTGAACAGTTCATAAAACTAATCACCACCGAGCACCGCATAAATATCTACACACTTTATGGGCTACAAAGAGGTGTTGGTAGCTTACATTTTTTATGTAATTAGTGTTATTAAATAAAAAAAATCAACTATGATAAAAATATCCTTGAACAGTTCACAAAACTAATCACCACCGAGCACTGCATAAATATCTACACACTTTATGGGCTACAAAGAGGTGTTGGTACCTTACATTTTATATGTAATTAGTGTTATTAAATAAAAAATATCAACTATGATAAAAATATCCTTGAACAGTTCACAAAACTAATCACCACCGAGCACTGCATAAATATCTAGACACTTTATAGGCTATAAAGAGGTGTTGGTACCTTATATTTTATATGTATTTAGTGTTATTAAATAAAAAAATCAACTATGATAAAAATATCCTTGAACAGTTCACAAAACTAATCACCACCGAGCACTGCATAAATATCTACACACTTTCTGAGCTACAAAGAGGTGTTGGTTCCTTATTTTTTTTTTGTGTAATTAGTGTTATGAAATGAAGAATTTAAACTACAATAATATTAAGAACAATTCATAAAACGCCATCTAGTCTCAGACTAAATAGAGCTTGTGTTGTGGGTACTAGACAAGTCATATACTTATATATATATTTTTTGTAAATGTGTAGTTGAGTATTTTTTACAGAAATGGTAATCCTCGCTGTTAGTACTATTATCTATTGTAATAGTATTGTATCATATCAGGTTGACCTCCACATGTGGTCACACTGAACACCAAAATACAAATCATTTTGATCGTTAATTCCTGGTCAATGAATCATGATCTTTGCTGAGTTTGGACTAGTTATTACGGGGACTAGATGGCGCTGTTTGAATTATTTTGAAGCCCTGAGATATTATGATTATTTGTCTGTCAGTTGTCAAGTTCTCATATCATACGTTTTGCTTAGCTTGGGACTAGATGGCACTGTGTTTTTATTATTTTGTTTTATGTGGGACAAAAAAGCTCACACAATGTCGTCTAGTCCCAAAATTAGATGACATTGTGAGAATATCCAGGAAACATATTTGTAAAAGAAAATGATTAATTACATATTAGTAACATTGTCAGCAGGGGGAAAAATGATTTGTAGCAATGTACCATGTTATAAACCATCGTGATTCCTGGTGAATTTGCACGATGGGCTAACTGACCTGACCTCATGCTCATCTTATCATCCTCCATTGGTGCCCCGCCAGCGTAAACCGTTAGCGCAGGCGGGTGCACCATTCCATTATCAAAGCCCTAAAAAAAAAACATTGTCAGCAGTTAATATGGCAACACATCTTTACCTTAAAGATAACAATTTCTAAGTTTGTTTAAATTTTAATGTTATGTGTACAAAAATTCGACTGAAGAACTTGTATCCATGATCATTATTAAAAAAATTGAAGATAACATTATTAATTAAGTTATTTTGGGGAGGAACTGACTCCTGATATCTCACGCTCACGCTAGTTTGGAAGTCAGGACTATATCAAACTGTACACCGACGAAGGTTTAAATAAATAAATAATTTCAGATTCTTATTTTAAAAAACCCACACTTTCTTCATTTAATTAAAATAGGGCAACACTTTTATCTCGCAATGACAAATTACCATGACTTCCTACAAATCAACTAACCATAAAACGACCCATTAAGATCTGAATTTCAAACACAGTACAACTTCGGGACACAGTCGGCTATCTTAATTCGCCACTGGTTTCATTAGCATTTGATTTGTATGTCCCTTTATTTATTCGCGGACCGGCCGCTTCGCCTTTGTGGGACAGTGTCTGATGAGATTTTTGAATTTAAATGTAAAGATGTCAAGGGTTTTTTGTTTCAAATTAATGTAAACACTATAGTTTTTTTTTTAAATGAAAGCAGCAACGGCAAATAATCTGATGGCCTATTTAATGGAAACTGGCAACTTTCGCTTACATATTTCAATATCGCCATGGATGTGTTGCCATTCTGTATTAACATACGTTGTTGCCAAAGACAACCTTTGATGTTTTCTTTGTACATTTTTATTGTATTTTGACGATCTGTCTTTTGACCAATTTTTTTTGACCAAACCTTTCATGCGTGATACTATTACGAAATAAAATGCGGAAAAACGGCCACATATATATGGTTAATGATTTCCTACAGAGAAACATATTAAACCACTAAAACTTTTGTCAAGATATAAATATATACTTTGACAAAAATTTTCGTATAGACAATATATATATTCTCTATGAGAAATTAAATACAGAAAAATAGCAGAAAAACAAGTTAAAAAATAACTAGACAGTATTTACATTGCTGGTGATATATTTTTGTGCCCACTTTCCTTATAATGTCATTAATAGGTAACCTACTTTTAAGTATATTAAATAAAATTAATCATAAAAATGCAATTTTATTACACTTTAGTTATTATACTAACATGGATACACAAAGCGTTCGAGATAGGCCATTATGTTTTTATAGGCCGTCCGCAACCAGTCCTGTGTACAGGCTGATAAGTGGCACCTCGTATACGTTTAACTAACCTACGCCGCCTCTGGTTAGCACCTCGACATTTTAATGCGCTGAGAAATGTTCCATTATGACCCATGCGACATGCAAGCGTGCGATAATATATGATATATTTATCATTTCGATAATACCCTTACGTCATACAGTCGTCGCCTTTTTCATGAGGTCGATAATCTTTATATACAATAAATTTGTAAAATCTTGACGAGATGACGAGGGTTTTTTGTTAGTTGATGTGTGAGGATTTAACTTAAGAAATACTGGAGGAATTAGGATGAAATTTTCAGTGAATAATAATAATTACTAATAAGCTGAGCTTGTGAATTATCCTTAGATGAAATAATTAATTACAAATGTGAGTATATTCAAATTAAATTAAAACAATAATAAATATAATTGGTTGTATAGTTGCTATATTGATGTTGATCACCAACAATTAATGGTCTACAAAGGTACACGCGTAGAAAGTGGATATCGCCATATAATAAATACATATATAATTAACTCCCAATTGACAGAGCTGTTAATAATAATTTAATCTTAAATTTAATAGTTAATTAAAGAATCAACTTGTGATATCAGAGAGAGCACTTGACACTGCTGTTAAAATAATAATAAATTAACCGTAAATTTAATAAATAAAAAAAACAACTTGTGATATCAGAAAGAGCACACTAATCCGTCGCGTGTCTATTATCATCACCCACCCAATACCTGTTGAACACTGATCTCTATTATCGTGGCCAATTTACAAAGATGGTCGCGATATCGACGTGTCATTACCGAGCCAATTTGTATTTAATGGCGTGAATTAAGAGCGGCCAGTTTTGAAACCAACCGGTGAATTCAGGGAATCGCATGATGGGCAACTAACAGAGATGATTGGAGTTGACAGTGATAGATAGTGTGAGGTGATACCAGGTTGTAATTTGCGATTATGTCAGTGCGAAGTTTTATAGTCTAACCATATAAGGTGGTTGAATGTAATGGAATTTTGTAAGATAAATGGGATATAAATTTTGAGTTAATGATTTATAAAGCTGGTCATAAAGAAATTGCATGTATTTAACGGTACCTATACTTCAACAATTTGGTACGATTTTTATTTTGTTTTCTGTAGGACAATTTATCTCTTTCCTTATTTCTGCTGCCAAACAAGTTGTTTAGCAAGATTTTTGGATGTTTGGACTCATAACGGTATTATTTATGCCATAACTGCTGCTGGGGCTCGTCAGCGTATTTCCAGCTTAGATAGGCTTGAAACCATATCACCGGAATCAATTCTGCCTACATCTGAGGCTGCTGATATTGTCAAACCAACGCAGGCCGCCACTGCCGGGCCTTCGCGCTCCAAGCGCACCGTGAGGACAAAACAGTAGCTTAACATATGTTTATGTTCAGTGATACCTTTTGTTTTGCTTTTATAACTTCACCCACTTCTTTTTTTGTTTTTCTGTTTACATATAATTATTGTTTTTTTTTATAAGCTCATTTCACTATCAATCTATCAGTCTCTGACAGTGACAGTTACTTTCGAGCTGTCATTTTTAGCATGTGTCACTTGTCTGCTGTAATGTTATTTCTATATGTATTTTGTGACTGGATACTCATTCCTTTGAGACTGATATAGTATAACTTTATTACAGTTAGTTTATATTATTATATAAAATTTTTTTTTTTTTTAATTTACGTATAAATATTTTTTTTTTTACAGTCGAGTCTGATTGTACGATGTATTCATTTTATCTTCTTGTCTACAGTTATTGTGATTTATTTATAAAGTATTATTTATCTTGCAGTTGGCCGGCGGTTCGTGCAGGGTATTAGTGTTGGTGTTACGCGTTCATTTATTTTTATTGGTATATTCATTATTTTAAGTTTTATATTGCATATATATATATATTTATTATTATTATATTATATATTTTACATACATTATTTACCAAATGTCTGACAATGAATCATTCTACTCAGCCCACAGTTCTAATGATTCTTTCGAGTCTTTAGAAACATCCCTTTTAGATTTACCACTTTTATCCTTTAATCTCAGAAATGAATTTGTAAACACACGCCATAGCATGAATATCTGTCACATTAACGCTCAAAGTCTACCGCAACATCATAGCGAATTGATGAATACTTTTAGCTCGATTAGTTTGGATGCCATTCTAATTTCTGAAACCTGGTTAAAACCCACTCTGCCCTCCACCTCCGTTAGTTTACCCGGATATATTTTAATAAGAAACGATCGTATTGATAAGCGAGGTGGCGGTGTGGCTATATACCTACGAAGTGGGTTTGCCTATAAAACATTAGTTGCCTCCTCTTTCTCTGGTGGCGCTGAATATTTATTCGTGGTGGTTGATGTTAAGGGAACTAAGATTGTTCTCGGTGTATATATTGTCCTCCTTCCATGACTACTTCCAAAACCTTGAGTCTATCTTCGATAATATTATGGCAGAGTACACACATCACATTATCATGGGTGATTTTAACACCGATTTGCTTCAAGACACCTATAGATCTCGCAAACTACGCGACATTACACGATCGGTAGGTCTCCAAGTGTTATCCCTTAGTCCTACCCATACCAACCGGGATTCTCCGAACACTTGGCTTGATCATATTTATGTCTCCTCACCTGATTGTGTTTTAAAACATGGTCAGTTTCCTGCACCGGGTTTTTCCAAACACGACCTTATCTACACTTCCTATAACATTAAAACCTTTAAGCCTAAACCTGCTACTGTTCGTCTGCGTAACTTTGCGAGAATCGATACATCCATTTTAGGTAAGGATGTAACTGACTTCGATTGGTCATGCGTATTTTCTGCCACTACTGTTAATGACAAGGTATCCGTTTTCAACAAAGCCGTACTCAAAATCTTTGACAAACATGCCCCGGCCCACCTTGTTAAAGTTAAAAGGCAACCAGCTCCCTGGATAACTAGATAGTACGCATGGCAATGAGAAAGCGAGACCGTGCATTCGGAAGATACAGAAGGGACCGTTGTGAAGAGAACTGGGGTGCTTTCAAAATTGCGCGCAATCGCTGCAACTATATGGTAAGAGCTGCCAAACGCCGTTACATCCACTCGAATATACAAAATTCTTCCTCGGCCAATACCTGGAAGTTTCTCAAATCACTTGGGCTGTGCAAACAGTCTAATGGTTTTACGTCATCTCTTTCATTAAATGATTTGAACAGGCATTTTTCCACAGTTTCTACGATCAGTGATTTTCAGAAATCAATCACCTTATCCGAGATAACTTCATGGCCTAAACGAACTCTTGATAAATTTATATTTTCTCCGGTAGCTGATGATGAAGTCTACAAGATAATTTCCTCTATTAAATCCAACTGTATCGGTATTGATGATGTGAGTAGGATTATGGTTATTCTCTTACTCGAACATCTACTACCTATCATTACTCACATCATCAACTTTTCCATGTTTTCCTCTGAGATTCCCGAATCATGGTTAAATGCATTTGTACTTCCTCTTCCTAAAGTATCATCCCCAGAACTTCCCAAGGACTTTAGACCCATTTCTATCCTACCCTTCCTATCTAAAATACTAGAAGCTGTAGTCCACAGACAGTTATCTGAGTTTGTTTATAAAAACAAACTGTTAAGCCCTTTTCAATCTGGTTTTCGCCCTGGACACAGCACTACTACTGCCCTGCTTAAAATTACTGAGGATGTGAGGGAGGGAATGGAAAAATCCAAACTAACGGTTCTCGTTTTAGTTGATTTTTCCAACGCATTCAACACCGTAGATCACGATATCTTACTCGCCATCCTTTTACATCTTGGGATTTCGTCTTCAGTTATTGGATGGTTTACATCTTATCTTCGCGGCCGTCAGCAGGCAGTTCGTGTTAATCAGTCTTTGTCGGATTGGTGTGAGCTTGTCGCTGGCGTCCCTCAAGGCGGTATTTTGTCTCCCTTACTTTTCTCCATCTTTATTGATTTTATCACTACTAATCTTAAATGCTCTTATCATTTGTATGCAGACGACCTTCAGGTTTACTGTCAAGCTTTGGCTTCTGAGCTTTATGAGGCCATCGACCAACTGAACAGTGATCTCGATCATATACTCAAATGGTCCAACAAGTTTGGAGTATCGGTTAATCCTACCAAGTGCCAGGCGATAATCTTTGGTAGCAAACAACAACTTGGCAAAATTCATTATGGCACTTTACCTCCAGTTCTCTTCAACAACCAACCTATTCCTTACAGTTCATCGGTAAAAAATCTTGGTTTGCTGATGGACAGTTCTCTCGGTTGGAACGACTGTGTTAGTGAGATTAGTCGTAAAGTTGCGTTGACGCTGCGTAACTTATATAGGTTTAAAAACTTCCTGCCCATTAGCACAAAAATTCTCCTTGTATCCTTAGTCCTTCCCACTATTGATTATGCTGATGTGTGCTGTTCTGACATGAATGTTGACCTTTTAAACAAATTGGATCGTCTTCTCAATAACTCTATCCGCTTCATTTTTAATCTCCGCAAGTTTGATCATATTTCTTCTTTTCGTTCACAGCTTAAATGGCTACCTATCCGTTACCGTAGAAATGTACGTATGTTATGTACTCTCTATTCTGTACTATACGATCCAAATTCTCCTGATTATATTAATAGTAAATTTCATTTCCATGGGGACAACACCAATATTCGCTCAACTCGAAAATTCTTACTTCATATCCCAGCTCATCTATCTGGTTTCGTCCACTATTCCTTCGCCGTTCAGGCTATTAAACTTTGGAATGACTTACCCCTTAATATCAAGACCGCCACGAGTAGATTTTCTTTTAAACGTAAACTGTGGGACTACTATCTAAATTCGTAAGTTTGTTTTTTTTTTATTATTTATTTTATTTTTCTCTCGTTTCTCTTTACCTTATATTTTTCTTTTTATTCTCTGTGGTTTAACTGTCAGATTGTTTGGTATTTATTCTGTTTAGGTATTGTGTATGAGTATGTATTTGTATATCATATTATATATTCCTTATTTGTATATGTATGTGTGTAAATGTATATATATGTTTATATTTATGTATTGTTGTAAATGTAATAGTATAAATATTATTATATCATTTTTTATTATTATTTTTTTTTTTTTTTTGTTATGATTATTTCTGCACCGCCAACAATTTTTCTCTGTACTGCCTATGGTTGACTGGTAGAAAATACCGCATGGTGTTAAGTCCGCCAAATGTACTGTTACTTTTGTACTGTGTGCATTAAAGTTATATAAATAAAAATAAATAAATAAATAAATTTTTTCGATTTGAAAGCGAAATGCAGTAAAATGATTATGAAATTCAGAAACATTAACATTTCTACAGCTGTAGGGATTATTTGTTTTAAATAATTGAAATTATTTCTCAATATAGATTACAAATGTTACCATTTTATAATAGAATATACAAACTGAAGTCTACCATACAACATTTATTTCAGTCTCACAGGTTATCGATATGACCATCACCAAAGAGATCATCATAAATATACATTTACAAATCTAGGCTAAATTCGAAATCATCTTATTTAAGAATAATTAAATTAAAACTATACATACTATTTTATGCTAAATTTATTTTCAATGATATCCCAAATGTATTCTAAATTGTTTTTGTTAGGTAGAGTAGTGGATCACCTGGCTTGCAGTATTTAACTTCGGTATGTCATGCTAAAATGCTGGCCTTAAGTCTTCAGAGTTAATTACCTTGAAATACTGATCTATCTGAGAGACGGCGATAGGCTCGCTCGCTCCTTGGCACGTTTGATTTAATATATATGTATATATCGAGGGAATTGCGGGCATATCAAGTGTTGTATTAACCACAACATCGACAGTTGACAATTACTTCGCGAACTACATGGTTTTTATTTTATTTAAGATCACCAACAACTGTTACATAATAATAGTAATAATGGAGAAAATAATTATAATAAGAGAGAGAGTGAGACGATAGAGAAGAATAACAATAATAATAATAAACTCAGGACAATTCACACAGCGCCATCTAGACTCAAGTTAAGCCAGCTAAAGCTTCTGTTATGGGTAATACATAGACATTTTTTTTCTAAATACATACTTATTGTACATAGAAAACACCCAGACCGATACAAATAAACACACTTTTGAATATAAATGATTGGACCGTGCGAGGAATCGAACCCGCGACCATCGGAAGTAAAGCGGTGTGCTAAACCGCTACACCAGCGAGGCTGTCAATTAATATTGATTAACACTTATTAATATTCATAGCATTGGGATCCCGCCAGGGACACCTTTAACCACATTTAAAAATGGAACACGAATAAATGGCCTGGTAAATCTACGTTTGCAGCCGCCATTTTGTTTTTATTTCGCGCCT